ATATACTTTTCAAAAAAAGATATTCAAAAAAATATATGTGATATGGTTTGAATTATTAGTTTGAATTGGTATTTATGTGTTTAGATTTATTGCTGTTTGACTTTTTCTGCATGGAATATGAGAATAATATCTGTAAATAATAATAATCTTTAGCTATAAATTATCAAAATCAATTTCCTTTAAAAATTTATGAAAATTTAATTCCGATTGCCGTTATTATTTACAGAAAATTTTGGCACAAAATGAAATTGAATGGGGAATAAATAAATAAAAAAAGGATTCTTAGAAAAACTGAAAAGACAATTTTCCACAATAGCAAAAATACGAACTTTATTTTTACAAGATTTTTAATACTATACTAGTCGTAATAATTTAGGCAATGTATATAATTCTTAATTTTCATTATTTAAAAGTTATTTAATTTTTAATATTGAAATACCATTTTACTGTTTTAGTACCATTTATTACTATATATGAAATAAGATATAAAATTAATTTTTATGCTGCACATAAATTTGAAGTAAATAAAATTTCTTTAATAGATATAATTCATGATATACTTCATCTCCAGACTGTTTTGACAGGTTTAGTGTATTTGACTTGAGGAGTCACAGTCGCTTGGTGGGAGTTTTAATTGGTTTTCGCATTTGAGACATTTTTCCAAGGGTGGATGATTTGGATGAATATCTCCTTTCTTTGGACTTTGTGCGGGTAGCGATGAGGGTGGCTATATGCTGAAGAATTATGATCACTTTCTCAAAGTTCAAGATAATGATCATAGCATTCTGTTTCGTCTTTTGATTTACCCTTATTTTATTTCAATTAAGAATCCTAGTTCTAGACTTCTATTAATTGATAAAAGAAAACCATTTCACTGTTAGATTAATTCCCATGATGTTCTCACCTTTCTTATCAACACTAAGAAAACTGTTTGGTATCATGTATCAAAGTTTGGTTGTCCCTACCAAATTTTTTATTTGATATATGTGCAACTAACCCCTTTGGTTGGGAGTACTAAATTTTTTTGTCCAACCGTTAAATTTCGCTCAATTGAATTATTTAGTAGGTGTAACCAAATAATTTAGTCTACGTAATAAATACATTTATTAGAATGAAAAAAAATGTTCTGTTGACGTAAATAAAATTTAGTTATTTCAACTTACTCTTTTCGTTGATTAAAAAAATTTTTTTGTAGAAATAACTAAATAATTTATTTTATATAAAATAGTTTATTTGGTCATTTTTACGATTTTGTATAAAAAATAAGGTATTTTAATTCAAGAGAGATGAGATTAATAATATAACTTTATTAAATTCAATATGCTTAGACATTACAAAAATAATTTATCTTCCCGTAAGTACACACTACGCGCGTTTCATGAAATATCTCAAAATGATATCGCATAAAATTGAGGAGCAAGTTTTCAAAAGTTGATACAGAATGCCACGAGGCATTCTAACCCCCATTCTCTTAGCAAACGTTTTGTCACTTCGTCAGCCATTCTTTCGAAATAAAAGAAACTCTTTCAGTACACTTTTAAAAAATAATTATTTATAAAACTTTAATGACACTGCTACGATAATAGACCAGCCGAACAATAAAAACACATGACATAAATGACCGGATAAGCATAACGCGGAAGAGGTCCACGACTGACTAGGCCCTACGACTGACGCCACATTTACGAGAACAGCGCGTGCGCAATTCTGCGTGCCAGCGATTTAGTACGGAGAACCAAACTGTTTAGTTCGTAGACATGAAACCTTCAAAAATATTTTTTGGTAGAGCAAACTAAATTTTTCGATTGATTGCCACTTTCTTTTCTGTTGTGCCAACCATACTTTAGTAAGGCCAACTAAAAATGCGTAACTAAATTATTTTCTTATTATTACGATATTATTTTTCTCAGTGAAAAGTAAATTAAAAATAAAAAAAGCCTCCGTAGACTACTTAACATCAAAAAAGAAAATTCACCTGCAAAATATTATTTACACCGATGTAAAAGACCCAACAGGGCTGTAAATCAGAAAAAAAAGTACTATATCCAAAGCTCATGTATATTTTATGAGAAATTGAACTCTAGCTGCTTGCGGCACAAGCCCTTGGTTCCTGTCCACGTATATACTTCTCTTTCTAATCTCCTTTACGCTGCAACGTTCGACCATAAATTCAAGCGTTAACGACTCTAGGGCCCACCAGGGAAAACTGTACAGACGTTCTACTTGATTTCTCGTTAACTGTTGCCTTTCATAGTCTCCACGTACATTCATACATATATATATATATATATATATATATATATATATATATATATATATATATATAGCGTATAGGTTGTGCACACGCGCTCAAGAATCGAGAAAGCAACAGATTATCAAAGACGTCGATCGAGTTAAGATCGTTAGGCTTGCGACTTTTCCACGCGGACAAGTTAAGAAGGTCGGTTCGAGTGAAACTCCATGTCCCCTCTAACATCATTAGGATCTTCATCCGAGATTCCAGACGAGAGTACAAATCTTTAATGATATTGCCTCCCGATATATATTATATGTATACTCTGTATGGGAAGTCTTACAAGCTAAAAATTTCTTCCAATGCCTTTTTCAAAAGCGTGAGAAGTAAAGAAAACTGTCGCGCGTGTTACTTGATGGATTTTTTTACTATGTATGAGAAATAAATTTAATAAGAAAATTTACAGGATGGGATTTAATGAATGCAGTGGGCAAAAAAAAGCCTATGTCATATTTCTATTAAAATATAAAAATAAGTGATAATGTTGAAAAAGATACCATTTTTTTAGATATAGCCAAGATTAGTAATAACTTTCACAAAAAAAGTTAACTCCTAATTCTCTCCCCAGGGGAATTATTTATCAACCCCAAAAATTTATCCCTGATAACTCTTAAAAAATAGGGTTTAAAAAAAAAAATTTTAAAGAACAGAAAGTTAAAAATGTCCTCGACAATAGGATTTCTGTTCTCACGCAAGAATTCTCTAAAAAAAATGTATATATGACATTTTTTGTCTAAAATTTTTTGTTAAAAATTTTTTCAAGAAATCTATTTTTAAAGTTAGGCTGGTGAAGAATATTCTAATTTCAACTCTGATGCAATTAATATATAATTTTTAATTCTTGCAATAAGAAAAATTTTCTTAATTTTTATTTATTAAATTAAAAAATTAATTTCCTTAATAAATTATTTTAACATTAAAAAAGATAATTTATTTTCAATGTTGTTATTTACTAAATTAATAGGTTATTTACAATATTGAAGTATAATTTATTTCATCACTAGTAAATTATTTTATTTGAAAGTATAACAGTTGACAAACATGAAGTTAGAGAATTGATTCCATCTTCATGTTGTATTTGTTTGCTACGCTGCTGCGCCTTTGTGCTCCCTGCATGCTTCTGCCATCTGACGGCGACAGATCGTAACGAAACATAAACAAAAAATTTAAGTAATATTACTATTATAATTTCAATATTCAGGTATAGAAGAACAACAAATACAATAGGGTGTCATAAATGGTTTATTATGACTAGATTTCCAGTCGACTCTATTGGTGTTATTTTTTCTTATTTTTCTTTTGAAATATTTAATAAAGAAGATTACAATTATGAATCTTATTCGAAAAATTTTGTTTCCTTTAATTTAGGATTAAATTCTGAACAAAATTAAAATTCAATTAATTTCTGACTAAAAAATACGGTACATAAATATAAATTGTTTACAAGATATCAAAAAAAATTTATTTAACAACAATTGCTGAAAAAGAATTTTACACTCAAAAAGTTAAGCAATTTTACTCAAAAAAATAATTGAATTAAAAAAAATTTTAATATCTAAATGATAGAACATTCAATTAATTTAGTTTTTTAGATCATTGATTTGTATTGTCAATAAATTAATATTATAAATTGATTTAAAAATGTTATTTAAATATTTGTGAAAAATGAAAAAAGTGAAAATTTTTTAAAGAATATTTAGATACTTTATTTTTAATTTGAAAAAATAATAATAAATATTTTATTTAAAATCTTTTGTTCAATTAATAATTCTTTAGTTTTTTTTGAAAAAAGTTTTTTTTAAATAGCTGTGACTTTGTGCTCCCTGCATGCTTCTGCCATCTGATGGCGGCAGGAAGTAACGATATAAACTCAAATAATATTATACTATATTATTTCAATATTCACGTATAGAAGGACAATTAATACAATAGGGTGTCATAAATGGTTTATTATGACTAGACTTCAAGTTAACTCTATTTTTGTTATCTCTCCTTATTTTTCTTTTGGAATATTTAATATTTTAATTTAATATTTTATCACAAATTAACTTTTAGACCACAATTATGGATCAAATTTGGAAATTCTTGTTTCCTCTAACTTAGAAATCAATATTCTGAACAGAATAAAAATTCGATTAATTTCTCACCAAAAATTGCGGAACAATGTTTTTTATTTATTTAAATTTTATATGGATTGAATTGAGGATTTTTATCGCAAAACAATTGTTTAATAGACAAGAAATTTAAGCGCAAAAATCCAAAGTAATTTTACAAAAAAAAAAACATTTTTTACCCAGAAATAACTGTAAAGTGTGAATGTTTATAAAGTTTGTTTATAAAAATGATAAAAATTCATTCCTGCATGCTTCTGCCACCTGACGGCGGCAGGACGTAATGAAACAGTCATTATATTACTTTTCATTTTGGAATCGCGTTTTTGTATAGATTCACAGAATCTTTTAGATTTAAAAAATTTATAAGATAAACATCCTTGCTATTTTTGCCGATTTTGTAAAAAAGTGTTCGTGTTTCAAGAAAAAAGTATTTTAAAATCAATGTTTATCATTTTCACATTTAGTGCCATTTTTATAAGGCGATAATTAAATTCCTTGCCAAAAAATTTCAAAAACAGTCAGATTTAAAAAATTCAAAATGACGGACCCAATATGGCTTTTTTTAATATATATAAATATTTTTTTATTTTCAGCAAACTGGTACGGAGACGGAACACTATTTGGAAAAAGCGCTCATAAGAATCAATATCCACAACCAAAAATTGCGATACACTTTTTTTCTCCATTTGGATCTATATGTAAGTACCAAAATCTATATGTAAGTATCCAAAAATGGCCCTCATACGTGATAAATATTTTTGTCAAAGCGTGAGAAGTAAAGAAAACTATTTCATATTAACCGATTTTAATATTTCTCTTCTTTAAATTTCTGTGACAAATGAAAAATATGTTTTTTCACAGGCCTCATATATATATATATAAACCTGAGTTAAAAAAGCAAGTTTTATTACCTCACAAATACATAATAAAGAAATAAAACATTTTTAACTGCCGCTCAGAAAATTGTTATTGTGGCATCAGTTTTTTTTTTTTTTTTTTTTTGTCTTTTTACAAATGCTATATTATATGTCAGACTATATATACATATATATAAACAGTCGTGTGTTTGTGTCTAGAATGAGGTAAATTAATTCCTCGGGCCATTATTCAGGTGGAATAAGTCTGATGACGTTTTCAGTAAGAAATATGTGTAGCGATATGTAACGCGCACCCGCAGAGAAATTCTGACATCTACTTCAACCCAAAATATGTGTATGTACATCTATTTTCAAGAACGCGCGCACTGTCTCTCTGTTCACAGGGATGACATTTAAATAGAAACATCTGTACTGTCTTGCGCATGAAAACTAAAGTGTTATGTGTGTGAAGCAGCTGCAACGCATTTTGCACGCGATAGACATTAAATTTTAACACTATAATTAGAATATGGCAATGTTCATTATATTGAGAGCGATTCATAAAAACATGTTCTTTTCGTAAAACACTTTACTTGTAAATGGATAAACATATATATATATATATATATATATATATATATATATATATATATGAAGGACGTGTAGAAATCATTTCAACGAATCATTAATAATAATGACTATACTAATAATGATGATAATATATAATTGCTGCTAGAATATAGTAATAATCTGAATAAAACAAACGGTAGCAAGGGAAAATAGTTTTTGATGATAAATTGTAAAATGAGATAAAAAAAAAAAGTTGGAAAATGTAGAGGAGGTTTCAAAATTATTACGTCAGAATGTTAATTAAATATATATTCAGGTAAATAAAGTTGTTGAAATGCAATTTAAATGATAAAAAAAAGGAAAAAAATATTTTACACTGAATGTACAATATATATATATGCGTATATGTATATTGTACATTTCAATATCAAGCGAGCGATCAACAGGCGCTTATTAGGATTATGAAAGGTATCGCATAATATCGTCCGCCAATCTCCAAGTTTCGCTTCCAACATATAGAAACATCCATGTACGTCGAGATAATTAGTTTAGTATCTCCACGATGTGTGATTACCGGACGTAACGAACACGTAGATACATGGCATTCTTGATTGTCGTCATTAACGTCACGCGTAGGGTGTTAACTTGTTCTATCTTCCATAGTACCTCGACATACATAGTGCACGAAAGCACGAAATGCAGATCTGGCACATCATATATATATTCTATACTATATATATATAAAGCAACATATATACATTCAAATGAAAAATAAATTCATTTACAATATTTTTCCTGTAAGAAAAATAATTTTCTACTGTCATTGAAATAAATTACAATGTTGCAATTTTTATTTTTAATAATGTCGCTTTTTTCCATTAAAAGTATAAATATAACTCATTAAGTATATGTTCATGACTGAGGCGGATGCAATGGGAGTTGAGGCGACTTACATATTTGCTTCTGTTAGAGGATGAAGGCATTTGATAATTTTTGTAAAAGAGATAAATGATGACTTTCCTGCGGATGGACCATATCAATACATCAAAGAGATTTTAGCCGCATATTTTTGAAAAAAGACAAGTGACAACTCACAAAAAAAAAAACGGACAACTTCCTTTTTTTGATTCGGACCGAGGTGTTAGCCATTTTATTTCGTAGTCAATTATAAATACAAATTATTATTTTTGTACTTGTGCATAAGAAAAACCTTTCTTATTTTTTTAATTTTAGCAAACTTGTACGGAACCGGTACAGTGTGTAATGAATGCTATTTTAGAGATATCGTCCATAAGAATCAAGCTATATAACCAGTAATTGCGATACACTTTTTTTCTCCATTTGGATCTATGTAACACAGTGCTTTTTAAACCGATTCAACCTAAAGTTTCTGGCACATTTATTTTCTTCTTGATTTCGATTATAGATCATAAATATACATCATTTTTCAATAAAAACGATAAAACCTTCTGTGGAGCCGTTTTTGAAAAAAGTCGATTTGTAAATTCAAAATGAGAAAAAATCAACTTTTCTACAAAGAATATTCATTTTAGAAAAAATTTCATTAGATGGAATTTGTAGATATTAAAAAAAGGATGTTTTTTTGTTTCTACCAATTTCATCTACAATTAATATTTTACCAGAAAAACGAAAAAAATTAATATAATGACAGGCTCATTACGTCCTGCCACCGTTAGATGGCAGAAGCATGCAGGGAGCACAAAGTTGCAGCTGTTATTATTTATATTACTTTCCTAATTTTCGTTTTTCAAAGTATAATTTTTTAAAAGTAAAAGGTCTCTGAAATTCTTTGGCATTTAATTATCGCCCTATAAAAACGACACTGAACGTAAAAATGATAAACATTGATTTTAATAGTATATATTTTGACGAAGCTGAAGTACGCAACGTTTATGATAAACGATTATTAAAGAAATAATTTTAAAAAATTTTTAAATTCTACAATTTTTTGTCTAAATTTTTTTTTATAATTTCTTGATTAATGAAATCTACAAGAAATATTTTTTAGGCGAAAAATTATAGAATTTTACATTTTAAAAAATTGTTTCTTTAAAAATCGTTTATTATAAATTTCAGCTTTGTATATTTTGAACATGCGTGATAAAAAATATTTTTCTCTCGAAACACGGACACCTTTTACATAATCAGCCAAAATGCCAAGGATCCTTATATTATTATAAATTTTCTAAATCTGAAAGATTGTGCAAATCCATACAATAATGCGATTGAAAAACGAAAATTAGAAAAGTAATCCTTTCTTAAAAAAGACAGTGTATGCAAAGCACATGAAAATGTATCGAAATATATCGATGGTCGAAAAAATCAAAAGTAAGAAAAAATGAACTTTGCTTTCCAGAGCATCTAAATGATCTAAATCAATATTAATTTTATGAAAATAATCTTAAATTATTGTTCCACATATATATATTTTGCATAACTTACTTAATTGCAATAAATATACAGTTGCAAAGCACGCAAAGCATTTATTTGTTGTAAATGTTTGCAGCTGTTATGAATCAGAAACGAACATAACCTACATTTAGTTGAAATCACCTGATTAGCCCAAGACAAAAAACGCGCGCTTTTTTAAAATAATAAAATTTATTAAATTATAATAAAATAATTGTAATAAATTAAATTATTATAAAAATAATATTACCTTTGATAACAAAATATTTTCAGTTTAAAAAAAATTATTTAACAATTATTATTATTTTCAGATAAATTTTACAAATATAAAAGATTATTATTTTTCTATTTGAATTTTTTTCTATATAATTACATGCCTTTTTGCATTTTGTTAACAATATTATTAAATATTTAATAAAATAATTGTAATAAATTATGAAACATAAATTGAAAATTAAATTGAATAGACAAAGAATGGAAGCAACGGAGACGGACAAAGGCCGTCGGAAGCGCTAGTATAATAAAATCTGCGACATTGTGCTTCCTGCATTCTTCTGCCATCTGACGGCGTCAGGACGTAATAAACTTGTCATTATATTATTTTTTTTCGTTTTTCCTGTAAATCATTAATTGTAAAGAAAATTGGTAAAAACAATAAAATTCCTTTCTTTAATGTTTACAAATTCCATCTAATGAAATTATTTCTTAAATGTTTTCTTGAAGAAAAGTTGAGTTTTTGTCATTTTGAATTTTCAAATCAACTTTTTTCGAAAACGGTTCCACAAAAGATTTTCGTTTTCATTAAAAAATGATGTATTTATGATCTATAATCGAAATCAAGAAGAAAATCCCAAGTGCCAGAACTTTTAGGTTAAATAGGTTTATAAAAAACCGTGGTAAGCATATACCATCGTCGACGGTCAATTTCCAAAATTAAATACGTTCCTCATAGGCGTATTTTGATAAATATATCGAACAATATGAAAACTAATATCATTTATTTTCTATGTGGCAAGGAAAATAAAAAAAAAATAATGAAAAAAGCGAAGAGGAAACAAAACATCTCAAATTTCAGCAAAAAAAGCGGCTACACTTTCAAAATGGTTGAAAAAGAGAGAGAGATGAACTCTTTTTGGTATCGAGATCCAATCATTTCACAGGAGAGAAGAGAAACACGATCGAACCGATATATACAAAGAGGAGTATCCAATTTACAGTGTCGTATTCTACTTCACGCATCAGCGGTATATACTATATACAGTCGTTTGGAATGTGAAACATTTGGAGGGCCATCGTGTGTGCAGTTTGGAGGGAGTACGGTGGCCTGATTAAAAAGTTGGTCGATCAAGAGAGTGTTGGTCTCTCTCTCTCTCTCTTTTTTTTCTCTCTAGGGTCAAATCGATGTGCATTTTTTCGGGGAATGGCAAAATAATTAATCTCAAACCGTAGAGAGAAGGCGGCGGCGGAAAGGTTTTGTATATATGAAGAGAGGAACGCAGTACACAGAGAGAGAGAGAGAGAGAGAGAGAGAGAGAGAGAGAGTGCGGAGGAGCCGTTTCGCGTCAAGTATGCGCAGAATGAAAACTGTCAGCCTCTTGACAGGACTCTGGCTTGGGTGACAGGTTGCTAAATGCACAATCGGCCTCGCACACGAAGTCAGGTATATAGAGAACCTCGACTCATGGTGTATGAACATCGCGATATCCGTGTCCGTTCGTGTCAGAATTCCCTGTTTTTACACTCTGAAGGCTGACATTACAATATTGACGTTTTGCGATCGAAACGTGGATACCATTAACCCCTTAACGACAAATGATGGGCAGTTTCATCATCAAAAATTT